TGTATAGCGCTTACAAAGACTGTGATCCTTTAACAGCCGGATATATAAGCGGCCAGGATCAAATACTTCCGCTGTATGTGATGAATTTCTTGGGAGGACTTCGTGGAATGCCCGGATTCTTTGTAGCTGGTATCTTCGCCGCTTCTCTCGGGTTCGTAGAACATTTCGAGCAAACAATTAATATATAATTATTATATCTAATAGGAAATAAATTTATTTTGAAGTGAAGCTCGAGAATTCATTGAATTACACTTGAAAATATCTGGAACTGTATTTTCAGAACTGTGGCGAGTGCTTTAAATTCATTAGCGGCGATAACCTGCGAAGATATTCTTCGCGGACTCTTCCAAATGGATTTGCCGGCAAGTAAAGGTGCCATTTACGCCAGATGGATTAGCATATTTTTCGGAGCTCTCAGTTTCGCGCTGGTTTTCATCGTCGAGCGTCTTGGTAGCGTCCTACAGGTAATTTACATATTTTGCTTGCGTTTTTCGTGTTTTCGAGAAATATTCTTCATAAAAAAGAAGAAAGAATTTCTTATAATACATCTAATATTCTCGTTATAATTATTTTTTATACTTTAAATTTAGAAAGATTTTTGAAATACTTTAAAACTTCTTTTTAATTTTATAAGTTTTCTTCGAAAATTATATAACGAAAAATCTTTGAATTTGCATAATTTACATACATAAAGAATTCTATAAAAGATGCAGACTTCAGCGTTTTGAAAAGTGTTCCAATCTAAAAAAAATTGAGAAATTTTTCATAAAATAATTATTATTAAAATTATTACAGAAATTATACAAAATTTTCTGAAATTTATATCGAAATTCTGAAAACATATAAAATATTCTAAGCAAAATTTAAAGAAATATAATAAAAATTCTTTAAGCGTAATTCTCTCCATATAATATCATTATCTCATATGATGAGTATGATTCATTTTTTTATAAGTTCAGGAATCTCATCTTATCTTTCTTATCGCGCTGTAAATTACATTGTGTAAACTCGAAACGCATTATTGACAAAGTCGTTGTAATTCTTAGGTTGCACTGTCTTTCAACGGCATGGTTGGCGGGGTGACTCTAGGATTATTCTCCTTGGGTATGTTTGTACCATGGGCTAATGCTAAAGGAGCAATAGTAGGTGCCATCACGAGTTTGGTAGTCGTCCTATGGATTGGATTAGGTGCCCAAATTGCGGCTGTAAACGGACAGATTCAATTGGATAGCAAGCCTATATCGATTGCAGGTTGTCCTTGCATAAATGAGACCACAATTGTGCTCGATCAATTCGAGCACAACTTCGATGATGAAGTTTCATCTATATACAAGGTGAGATTTGTCTTCTCAAAGGCATGGTTCGCAATTACGTTGTATTACACGTAATTACCTCTTCGAATTTCAATTCACTAAAAGAATATATTAAAATTGCAATTTCTGCAATTAAATGCTTATCAGTAAACTACGAAACGTTTGAGATCAACATTTTTAACTTATTTATTTCATTTTACATTTTAATTTATTATACTTTGCACAATTACCTATACGTCGTAAACAGATTTATTTATTTTAAACTTTAATTTTTTTTGCTAAGTATTCAGTTTTATTGTATTTTTCGTATAATTTATCGATTTATTTCACGTTAGTTTCTTCATGCAAAAGGAGAGATTTATTTGAGATTATATTACATTGACAAATGAGATAAATCTTACGCGTGATATGATTTGCAGACCAGTTATCTATGGTACAGCGCAATCGGTTGCATGTTGACCATGCTGGTAGGCTTGGCGGTGAGTTTTGCGACAGGCGCACAAAATCCCGCCGACATCGATCAGGACTTCCTGAGCCCGCCGATCGCGGCCATGTTCCGCATACAGACGAAACCTTGCGTCTCCACGAATGTCCAAGGTATCGCGAACTTTGGTCTCGAAATGGAAGACGAAAAGCCTCGGTAAGCGGAAATTTACAAGAAATGACCTTCTCGCGATCATCAATGAAGATCATATGAATCGGGGGAACCCGATAAATAGATACCGAGCCCGCCAGAAAGTAGTCTAGTTCAGCGAGCGATTTATCGAATGACATCTCAAATGGTCGAAAGGACGAATTGTCCAACAGGATATTTGTCCCTCGAGGGTTCGCCATTTTGGAAGGGCGTAAAATCCGTTCTTAGACTGATTGACAAATATTGCAGAGATATTTAGAGAAAATTGTAGTCCTTTAGAGATCTCTCTACTAGGCTTGGAAAAAATTGTTCATAATTCTACAGTTTTTCCTTGCCAGTATTAGTTTCAAAGGACAGTCAGATAGCTATATCCAGTAAACACCAATTAACAGTAACGTTACACATTATTATAATAACAAAAACTCCAAAACCAGAGCGAATGAGAGTCAGCGTGGTAATTAATACGCAATGCAAAAAATAGATTCTTTATTCCAAAAATAGCACGTTTCAGTTCACTTTGGAACCATCTTCAGCAAAACAAATGTAAAATATCAATCCCTTCATGTCAAAGAAAAATCACCATCAGATTAGCAGATTTGATGTTATAATCTCAAGACATAGAAGGAATTCGTCTCAATATTGGATCAATTAATTACCATTAATATTCATTAAAAAGTATCAAGTTAAAAAACGCAGTTTGATCGCAGCTCGAATGGAACATGACACGGAACATTATTATAATACTCAATAATATAATTATCATACATGTGTTATTTTACAATTTATGTTGTTAAATGAGAAATTATAATATTGATGTAATATTATATTATTTGTTATTTACCGGATATTGTTCAAGACACACTCTGCATTCCTATTTGTGGGCTTGTTGAGTAGAATACACCCAGTTCTGCAATACCATATAGTACCAGAAGATTGATTTAGTTAATTATAATCAATACAAAGGTAGTTTGACAGAATTATATATACAGAGAGTTTTATTTTTTATAACACCTGATGAACATTTTTCTTTCTGCACAAAGCGATTCGAGAGTGAGTAACTGACAAAATAACTAATAAAATAACAGATATTGCGGCGATTTGGAATTTTTTCTCCAAACACATTACCATGACGGAGCAGGTGAGGAAGAATTTTTTATTATTAAAAATATTACTGTATAATGTGCCGAATAAAACGTTGCACGCACCTGTATTATTTTTTGCGCGTCTTTTTATGATATTCTGACTAATGTAATTTGACTTTCCTAACTAATTTCCCATATAAACGCGATAGCAAGAAATTTAGGTTATATGTATATTCAGCGTATTTATATATTATATGTCATAAAAACACGTCATTAAATAATCATAATCCTACTTTCGCTATTAAATATTAAATAAATCAGAAAAGATTATTTAAGTTTTTTTTTTCTTTCTTTTTATTTAATATACAAACGATTTTACTTTTGAATTACTTTGTTATTCTACACCTTGCGTATTGTTTCGCTTTAAGAATTCTTATTTCATGGAGACAGATATCTCAGTGCGCACTAAAGATGTTTGACTATTCTATTGTACATTTATCTTTGATTTCGCATAATTTATTAACAAGACAAGCGTGTTTGATGAATGTTTTTGAATAGTGGATTAAAGTAAATGTTAAAATATTGTATATTTGTTTTTTGTAAATACATGTGGAATAAGATAATAAATATTTAAAAATATAGATCAATAAATATTCAAAAATGGGGAACAATAATTATAAGCTTAAAGGATCGATTTAATAATTATATTAACGATGAAATATTATATAAAAAAATAACAGCCACATACAGAATGACATAAAATGCATAAGAATAGCGTAGAGTCCCTGGATCAATGAATATTCGTCATAAAAACACCATGTCGATTCATATAAAATGTTCATTAGTCCAATGGCCTTATGCTATGATTATGCTTATCATTATCATTATTTTATGTGTGATGGTTCTTAGATTCTAGAAATAAATTATAAATTAACAGACAAGTCTATGTGAGTCCATACTAAGTGGTCGTGTGTAAAAATTTTGACAATTATACTAGTTTTATTATAAAGCGAAATAGTTCTTTTGTTAACTGTTCAATACTATACTGAAGAGGTCCTAAAATAAGGATCGATATGACTAACTCGTACCTTTATTTTATTAATCATTTTTTACATATAATTATCTAACGTCTACTCGCATAGGCTTTTTTTCTAATTTATGATTAATGAAATAAAATCATCAATTAATTCAACTATGTTGAGTTAAATATTTCTTTATAAATGAAATGATTTTAATAATATAAGAAATCTTTTTTAAAGTCTCAGTAATTAATTTCGGTACATTAAGCTATTAAAACTATTTATTTATTTTAGAATTACTTTGAGCGTATTTGCAAATATAAAAAGATTTCGGTTACGTGAAAATTCTTTATAGATAGCTCTTTATAGAAATCTATGTTAATATTAGCCAATTTAATAATGAAAGGTAATAATAATTACTTATTTTAATTACTAAAAGCACTGAATAACTCAAAGTAAGTAATCTCTACCTTCCAGTATTAAATTTCTATAAGGAGCTATCATCTAATCGGACAAACTTCTATTCTACTTGATGCAATTACAGTAACAAAATAAAACGTTTCCAACGTTAGACAGTTTTCCGTTAGATAGTTTTGCATATTAAAAATGATATCGAGACATCTGGTACCGACCGAGTACAAGTATCATCGTCCCGTTAAAGTATCTGAGTACATAGTGAACGTACGTTAACACCGTTTGTGTTATTGTCGGAGAGAGGAGAGAAGGAGAACGAGACAGTGAAAGTGGATCAATACGCGGTGAGTGTGCGGCCCGTTTGGCAGCGTACGGCTGTTTCTCCGCGAAGTGAGGCCGCCTGTCCGCGCTCGCAAGACACCCACGGCGACCACGTTGATACGAATCAGATCCATTCTCTTTGACAGTCTCTTTGACGCGGAACCGCTTTGACCGTCGACCCGTCTCCGAATTCTACGCGGAACGGAGATGCGCGGAGCCGCGCTCGAATCGTCGGTGTTCTATCGAGGGTGTCCGATTTGGCGTGTAAGGTGTTTCGTCTTGACGGTGAGGGATTTGATTTCTCAGGACGATTAAAGGAGATCGCTATATAGATTTCGCCGGGAGAGTTGTTCCCACGTCCCCCGATCTGCGATTAACCCTTTGCCTGTTTATCACCGGCAATCGAAGGGTGTCTTCACGTTTGATTATATATGCAGACGCGCGCGCTAGTGACGGATAGGCGACAGATCGATCCTCGCTGCATGGAGTCGAGAAAATTGGAAACTTCGCCGGCTCACGATTGACGGGGAAAACGAAGAGGGAATTAGAAAGCGGCTCGGGTCACCGTGTTACGTAGCCAAGATGTATCTGTCTCATCTTGTGAGTAAGAACGAAATCACCGACGTTTTACCGGAGTTATATTGTAAAAAAAGTTACATGTAAAATTACAAGTATAGTAAGTTATTATTTTCTTGGGACTCACTATTAAAAGTATATTTACATAGACGTTATTAATACGTATGAACATAAAAATGCAAATAGAATATGCGTAATGTATTATATAACATTATAAGAATACATAATATTTTAAAAATAATAATATTATATATATAAAAATTTGTACACACATTTACATAGAAATTATAAATATATAACTATTATTGTAATTTTCCATCTAATATAAAGATATATGTACATAATTAAAAGTAAAAGTACTAACTTTTGTAAAGATCCACAATTTTACATGTCAAATATTATCTATATTTTTATTTAAGTTATTTACTGATATTTCTGAAATCTAACATTGTTACTATTGCTAATTTAACATTATTAGTATTTCTAATATGTTTTTGGTTATAATTAGATAATCTTGCCGGTTTTATTTAAATAACTAATATAATCCATTAATCTATAATTTGTATCTGAATTCTATGTCGATCTGAATTTTTTGTCTCATTATTAATTGATCCTGACTGGGAAGAGGTAATATTTTTCTCAACAGATTCTGTACAATATTTTATGGTGCTTATTTGTATCACTATTAAATTGATAATCAATTTAATTTGTAATATCACTACTTCAGTTTCGGTTTATGATTGCATTTTATAGTCTGATAATAATCGGTGCGCAATTTATATAACTGGAAGATGTTTTTAAAAATTACATTTACCTCAATATTATTAGATACCAAGATCTATTTTAATTTCGGTCACATCTGGTGCTTCTTTACTTAATTTGATTTTATTCATATAACAGTTTAGAGTTTAACCTACTAATGTTGTGTGTGTTCACTGATATAGTTCTTAATCTAAATAATTATCCATATTTGCAATCTGATTTCTACCTACTCATATTTTTTCTTTAATAACATAAATTCAACTTACTAGAAGAAGTTCATGAAGATTAAATTTCTTCAAAAGGTGCGAAGAGCGTTCTGCAAGCAGGAACTGACGTGTCTGCGGTTCCTGCGTTGGACCGTCCTGGTGCCGCTTGTGATTTATATGTCGCTTCTATTTGTCAAGTACAACAAAAGCGTGCCTCTGAAAAGTTTATCGACCCCGAGCGACCGGGATAAAGAGGGTGCCGCGATGGATAGCTTGTTCTTCGAGTTGGAGGCCGTAACGGCCGATAAAAAGAACTTGGCGGGTTACAAGGACGCGGGAATCGATCGACGCAGAAACGACGAGACCATACAAATCGTGGAGGTGGAAAATCGTCAGGATCCGAGGAGCCTTCTCGAGGATATTTTCCGGCGAGCAGACACGGACGAGAACGAATTGTTGGATATCCAGGAACTAGCCAAATGGATCCATGCAAAAATCACCGAGCATATCACGCGCGCCATGCGAGAGAACGTCGGTCTATTCACTGCAATCGACAATAATCCTAGAAATGGTATGTAGCTGATTGTAATGCGGGTTTGCACAAGTGTTAATTAAAATCAATTGGAGCTTAACTAACGTTATTCACGCGAATGGCTTTATTTCCCAATGACATTGTATTCGGGATGAGTGGTTTTCGATCTACGACATGTAGTATTGCATGAAAATAATTCACGAGTGTAGTTTCTACATTTCTATTCTGATATGTTGAATTAAATATTGACACGAAATGTCAAAGGAAACCACATTTTCGCTATAATATATGGGTGCATTGTATTTATAGCATAAAATTAATATGACAAAACATGCTTAATTAATCTCTTTGAGTTTATATTATAATTAATTTACTATTTGACAAGTTAGTTGATTAACAATAAATAATTAATATTTATACATAGATACAATATATAGTTACAATTTAATAGATATATTGTATATGAATACATAATTGATTATTGTTTATTTTCTTGTTATAATTTATTTTATTTTTATTTAAAAAATTTAAATAGGAAAAAGAAATTCTTGTGACGGTTTATGTGATCTCAGAAAAATATAAAAAAACAGCAGTAGTAAAATCTGGTGTGTATTCATATAACACGGTTCCATTCTATGAACATTTTATAAATGTTTTCCTAGAACTTTGGATTATTCTTAAAAGATACATATAAAGCGTACAGGGCGTTCTAAGACTATTTGTAAAATATTTAATCCAGATTGCTTTATTTATCTAGGAAAAGCTATAGAATGTTCCATTAAATCATCAGAGAATATTGTAAGACTATTCGATAATAATCTGGAAGAACATTCTATGAACTTTTCTAGAATTATGAGCCTCAATTGAACATATTACAAGTATTTTAGAATATTTTAAAACTTCCGGAAAATATTGATAAAACTTTCAATATTACTGACTGCTTCTCAATATTTATCGCAGGTGAGGTATCATGGGAAGAATATCACGCTTATTTCCTAAGAACCCATGGTTTCTCCGAGACATACATAAATTCTCACGACAAGAAGCATAGGGAAATGCCGAGGACACTGAAAGAGAGCATAATGAGGGATCGAGCGCGATGGGCTGAAGCGGCTAGAAACGATCCCGAAAAGTTAGCTCTAGACGAATTTCTCGCTTTCACACATCCCGAGAGCAGTCACAGAGCTCTCCTGCAAATGGTAGAGGACCTCTTTGAAAAATTCGGTAGGAAATTGCCCTCTCTATCTTTTTTTTTATTTTATTTTATTTTTAATTAACGAATTCACAATAACCGTGGTCCACTCATGTACCCTTAGATCGGGACGGAGACGAGCAGCTAACGGAAGATGAGTTTTCGGATTTACCATCAGAAGGAGTCGGTCTGGATTTACGCGAAGATCGCCAGCAAGCGATAGGAGGCAGCGAAGACAGGCGTAAAGAGTTTCGACATTTGATTGACAAGAACAAAAACGGGAAAGCGGATCGAACTGAATTATTGGTGAGTAATAGAGCGTAAATATATTAATAAGGAACGAAGAGAGACGCTCCACAATTCCGCGGTTCGATGAACGAATACTCGATGAATAGCACTATTCTTAAATCTCATGTAGGTACCTATGTGGTTTCAAACTTTTGATCGTCAGTGTATATGAATGCTCAAAAGGAGAAGACAATTTTTGCAAAATATGTTGCGAGATTCTACTTTTAAACATTTGTAATTGCTTTAAAATTAAATGTCGAAAAATTGAAGCATAAATATAGTATATTTTATATACATATATATATATTTCTAAGAATTGCTATAAATATCTTTTTTAATTACGTAAAAAAATACATTTTTTAGATTTTACGATAAAATAAAAATTTTTTTTGTAGATGTACATCGATCCGCGTAATCCCAGACATGCTATCCAAGAAGCTCAACATTTGATTACTCTGTCGGACACGAATTTAGACGGAAAACTGGATCTTCTGGAAATTTTGAGTAAAATGGACCTATTTCTCGACAGCAAAATGGTAGACACTGAAAAAAGTTTCCATGACGAATTCCGATAATTTCTGAAGACGAAAATTAAAAGAAGGGTTTTTGCTGAAGTATATAAAATGAATTATATAAAAAGTAAGATATAGATACAGATAATCTGAAATACTCGTAATGTGGGGTCATCAAAATACTTAATAGGATATACAAGCATAATGATAATGTTGCTAAAAGTTTTTAAAGTCTATCAATCAATTTGATAGTTCAAAATGATTATTCACATGATCCAACATAATTATTTTTAGATCTGTATCCTGGTGAAAATTTCTTATATAATTTTTCCAATTTTTTAAATAAGTTTTAAAATTTTTTATAAATTCTATATATAATTACAACAATTTTTTATATAAATTGGAATAAGAGAAGTGCTGAAAAAGTCTACATCTTTTTTAGAATTCTTTATGTAAATATTTATGAAAATTCTGAAATATATCTACGATTTCTAAGATTTCTCATTCGATAATTTTCAAGGAGAACTAAGAAAGTTTATATTTTATCAGAACTCAGCAAAAAACAACCGTAAATTGAATGTTGATTTGGCATCGATTGACATTAAATCATTTCTCGCTGGGAAATCTACATAAATTTGAAATATAAAAATTTTTTAATATTATGACTCTTATATTATGAGAATCTTTTCATCAGAATGTGTATCTAGCTAAATTTTCAAATACTTCAGCAAAACCTTTTTTTTCGTGAGTAAACATAATTTAAAGGATTAAAGGAGGAGGAGAATTAAAGAGGAAAATTTCTTCGACATTCGTACTGAGAGATTAGACAATATGATTTTTCCATCGTTAATGATTAATAAGAGATTAGACCAATTACAGTTAATTAATCGATTTGTGCAGGGTACACACTAGCAAACTTTAACGAAGTTTCTTTACGAACGTTAATCGACTTAACGCGCAAATAAAAATTGTAGGCTTTTAGAACGTATCTGTGATAGTCTTTACGACGTAGAATATATCATTTAAGTAGGCACCAGTTATTATAGTCATCACAATTGTAGACAAGCATTACATTAATTCGTGAAGAAATAATTCAATAAAATCCTTTAAATAGGATTAGAATTATCAATAATTACTTGCTAATTGAATGAACAATGATAATACGAATGAAGGGTTACAAAAATCCGTCCTTTCATAGATCTCTTTTATCACTTCTCACGTGTGACTCGGCTGTAAACTATCTAGAAGACTTACTTAGATTTTAGATGCGGAGATCAGAAAAAGATTCTCCGTTTTGAATCATCGATCTTAAGATATCTTTTAAATCGTGCAAGAAAAAAATATCAGAGATAACATAATACAATTATTTAATTTGTGATATTAATGAAGGTAATTACTAATTAATATTTATACAATATGTTATGGTAAAATGATAATATAATATTACGATATTAATGTAATATTATATTTAACGTGAAACGTAATGTTATATTTACGTATTAGCTACTTTTTTACATCATACTGACTTACAATCGTAGTTACACGAGTGAGTTCGAAATTTATTTTTTTCTGTAACTGTCTTATTTCATTTATTTATTACTTTGTTCTTTAGCGTTTATTTATTTTAAGAATAAACTAACAGTTTCACTCTTCAAATAGTTCAAATTAACAATTGGAGAGGCTCTATCCATTGCACACTGGGACTGAATCTATTATTGTTACTTTATACTGATTAATGGATCATTTTACTATTTGTACATACATCGCTGAAGATGGAATGGAATCAAAACGTCCAATTTTGTTTTGTTTTAATTCGAAGGAATCCAGAAATATAATTGTTAAATAATAGCGCACGAATTATCGCGCAATTATTATTTTCCATTGCCCGTTATTTAAACATTAATTTGTTGTTAAATATCGAAAGTTCATTTTTATCTTGTTGTTGAAATATATGTATGTACGTTAAATGTCTTTGAAGATGAAAAATTGCAAAAAGTTTGCAAAACTGAAGACCGGGAAATATTTAGATGTGTTAGAGATATTGTGATCAACATATGAAACATATAAACTTGATTTGATGGAGGCCTCTGAGGACTTGGAGAAATATAACTATTCACCACAACAACGCAATGTATTCCGTAACAAATGACGGCTTAATCTCTCGTTTTACAATAAAATTAACAAATAAAATTACATTTTAAGGACAGAAATCGATGTTCCTTTGTAGAAAATTTTGTACGTTAGGGCATTTTTCTATGTACATTGTGATGTGACACAATAAAACTTGTTTAGAAATAATCTACTTGTATTTCATCTTGTCACTTTGTGAATGTTATATACTTATTAATTATCAAAATGTTTCAAAGTTACTTTTATTTTTCATATATTTTTTAAATTAAATTATATCTTTCTGACCATTTGTATTCTCTTTTTATTAAAATTGATTAAATTTGAACTTTATAAAACAATTCATATTATAAAAAATGAAAGTAATATTTAATTCAATTTAATTGAAATTAATAAATTGGAAACATTTGTTAAGTTTAATTGATAAAGTTAGTTACAAGAGGTGGTATTATAGGTATATTTTCATGTATAAATATTTTCTTTTTTTCTAGATTGCGAAGAGAAATAATGAATCATGAATTTATCGACAAATTTAATGAAAATAAACTAATAATTAAGTCATAACACTAATATGATATTAATACAGAAGAATGTGTGAGTAATCTCTTTGTAATGTGAAACTTCATTTACAATTCAAATTTAATTTATTACATAATAATAAATACATATGAACATCCTGCAAATTAATTTAATTGAGAATATCATCTAATTAAATGTACAATTAATAACTGCCAACAATCCATTTTCATTTTATAATTGAAGGTCAGTATATCAGATACTTATTCATTTGTTTATAAAAAAAATTTTAGACAATATAAAATTCAAAATCAGGACATAAAACGTTTTAAAGATATCTAAAAGACGTCTTATAGATATTTTTTTTTTTTTTCAAGAACTGTTTAAAAGACGTCATATGTTCCGATTTTAGAATTTAGAATTGCGTTGCCTGGGAATCTTCGCAACGCGAAAGAGAATAGATATTTTAAATGGCGCACAATTTCACGTCTTCATTGAATTCGAAGATAGAATCGGCGATTCCCGGACTGCAACTAGAAGTACAAATAACTGTTAAATATTCCATTTATACATCATTATATGTTTGGAGAATGTTTCATTAGATACATCGCAAAGATATAATTTTCTCAGAAATTTTCTGTCCAGAAATTTGAAGGTCGGCCCTAAATTAATTTTTTAACAAAATTATCTCATTCAAATAGGATATATTCGATTTAAGATATCAAATTTATCCAAAAATTGCAATAATCTAACAAACACGAAAAAACAATATCTGGCCGGATATTAGATAAAACGTGTTAAGGTTCTTAATTTTCCATCTCAGCGATATTAACCAGAATTAAAGTATTTTACAAAGTTTCTTGCGATAGCGCAACCTTCAAACTTTATAGTTTAGCTGCACACTTAGTTGCACGTTCAATAACGTTTGATCCGTGCCACTAATTATAAGTGTTAAAGAGCAGGTTTCTGCCGGATAACGAGGCAATTTTAGCAGAGGTCAAATTTGATAGCTTCCTTTGACGTAGATAGAATCTTTTAGTAAGCCGGATTTCCGTTTTCTGTAATCCTCGACTATTCTCCCGCTCCGAGTTTTTCATGATTAAAAAGATGAATTATACCATTACTAATTACAGTGACTTGATTTATTACAAAAATACGGTATTTTATTAAACCTGCGCTAACTATTTTTTCAAAGATAAATTCTACATCAAATTTGCAATTTCTCTTTTAAAGTTTCCTCAGAAGCTATCATATAAAGTATTTTTCATTTATCAGTATTAAATATATTAATTGAGTCTTATAAATCAATTTTATATTAAAATAAAATTGTAACTTAGTAATAAATAAAATATTTTTGTAAGTATTTTTTATTTTTGTTACTAAAATAACTTTCAATTTTTTAATTATTTTGCTAAATCATTAAATTACCTTAAAGTAATTCGGTTTACAAAACGAGTTTTAAAATCGCATTTCTCAATGTGTGATAATTACTGAATATAGATTATATCAGTGCTGTCCAAATGATTCATATCATAACTCTTTTTTACAATACAATTGTATATAATTCCAAATATAATTAAATTAAATAAGAATATGTGGCAGTATAATTTTAGCTTAAAAAATTATAAAAATAATCTATATCTTAAAAATTATGTAAGTTAAAATAAGGTAATGTAATAAATATTAATATTTCATTTAGTTATTCTAAATAAACATTGCTCTATTTAAGTACAATAGAAAAGAAATTATTTAAATGTTTATAACCTATTTAGAAAAATTTGGGCATCACTGATTTACATAATTACAAGAGAAGATGTCATGGATTTCATTACATTACGAGACTTCAAGATTTAGCTTAATGTAGATACTTATGAGAAAATTCCGCCTCAGTTACTGTGACGTGATGCACACTGTGTCAATCTGCGTCAAAGGAAAATCGGTTTCCTTTCACCGAAAATCCAAATGTAGCATTGATAATTCTAGGATCCGGAATTATTTTACTGTGAGATTGACTTCCAGACGTTGAGAGATTTGCGCGTTTACTACGATTAAACTGTTGTCCTGAAACGTGAAAAAATATTATTTTTTATAGAAATCAGATTTATAATTAAGAAAATTATATTTTACAAACCAACATATACAAGATATAATTTCAAACTAAATCATATTTCAAATCATAGAACCATTTTTAACTAACTTTTGAAATTTAAAGAAAAATACATTTCTTTCTAACATTTCTTTTCGATTCAATTCTAATTTTTTTCAAAAGACGATTATTACAATTTGATTAAAAGCAAATTTAATTTTAACTCGATAACATAGCTCTAATTATAAAATAAAAGATGAAATAATCTCTACTTGGCTTTAGATAAGTTCTATTCAGGGAAGACATCAGGATTAAGAATAACGAAAGATAAGAAGCGATAGAACAAAAGTTATTACATCAATAGTATCTACAGGCTGGATGTAATCTTGAGAATTCTAATACATTATCATTTCCTTTCACCATTTCCTGCGCTGGAATTTCCTCTGTAAAGTGAGACACAAAAAAC